CCCCAAAACCCCAAAACCCCAAAACCCCAAAACCCCAAAACCCCAAAACCCCGGGTTTAAAGAAATATATTGAGGTTCGAGTTTTGATAAAATCTGGATATTTATAGCTCTCTGTCGATGAAACTCTGAAGCATAGCCAATGATCTCTTTGGCTGATCCATTGGGACCATGTGTCCTGCCTCGAACACTCTCAAGAAAGTGAAATCATCATGGTGCTTGAACTCTCCGGCTTCTTCACCATCAACATTCCATTTCTGGTATGTGGAAGAGGTGAATGTGTCCTGACCATCAAATCCGATGGTGTTAGACCAGGCTTCACCACCTCTCCAATTACAGATGAAATCTTTATCTCCAGAATAGATAAGGTATCCGACTCCTTGATCAAGAGCATATCTGACTTTTGGTGAGAGATCGAGTACCCAATCCTTAGTAAGTTTTGAGTGAACATCCATATCGCATTGAGTCCAAGATCTGTCTCCGACTTGGAGGGCTTCCCTAACCTCTGGCTTAGCAATGATCTTGTCCAAGTTATCCATATCATAACAAAGTGGAGGATGTTCACATGGAATTCTAATATCATAGACGTTGAAGGCTGGCTTTGGAGCCCCAAGAATGGTGTTGGTCGTAATTGAACATTCAAGGAAGGCAGCCATCTTGAAGTTGAACTTGATAAAGCTAGTACAAGCGTAGTAAGCAGCAGAGAGAATGTAGCTGTGGAAGGTTGAAACTAAGTTATTCTCAAAAGCAAACTTGTTGTATTCTGGATATTGGACAATTGGGTCAACCCATCCATTTCCGATAGCAGAAGCAACAATGTTAATATCTGGATTTCCTTGTTCGACGATATAAGCAGTAATAGCAGGGATAAAGTGTCCAGCATAACTCTCTCCAGTGATATAGAATGGTCTTTGCTTGTACTCTGGGAATTTTTCGATAAAGAGAACCAAGAATTTGTAGAAGGTACTAGCAACTTCATCTTCATTAGTGGCCATATGCTCTGGCTTCTTTGTCTTACTGAATCCTGTTCCCAAAGGCTGATCAACATAGAGCAAGTTAGAGATCTCATTCCATGAGTAATCATTTTTCTTCAAAGACAAGTCATCATTGATAGTCCATGGTCCGTTTTCATAGAACAAAGCCAATTCAGATGAGCATCCTGGACCGCCTGTCAACCAGAGGACAAGAGGGTCTGTCTTTGGATCTCTTCTAGATCTGAGAAGCCAGTAGAACATCTCATCACTATCTCCAAGGTCAATTAGACCAGCATCATAATCTTCAGTAGCGAATGGATCTTCAGCCTTCACAGCTGCAAATACAAGCAACGTGGCTAATAAGAGGGTTTTAATCATCTTTTAAATAATTATTTCTATACCTATTTATTTATATGGGGTTTTGGGGTTTTGGGGTTTTGGGGTTTTGGGG